ACATTATCCCTCTTGAGCTCCTTGAGCCACGGCGTTGGCTCCCAAGGAAAGGCAGGGCTAGGTTCGACAAAGGCGAACTTGTCCTTCCACCTAGGAACGTTTGTAGGGGTGTCTGAAATGAAGTGAACATCGGCACGGCTTTTAAGGTAGAGCCCTTGGGTATGTTTTGAAGGGGCATAGCAATAGTGGAAGAAATCGAGATCGAGCCGACCCAGGCGGACGTGGCAGAGGATGGTGAAGATGGTAATGAACCGGATAGCATTAGGAGGAAGCTGGTTCAAAGGCAATTCGAACCACTGGCAGATGTCGATCAAATCTTGGCACAGAGGAAAGCGAACACCCAGCTTAAACTGAATCTCGAAAAATGTATAGCAACCCTTGGGGGGACAGTCATATGTATCCTTGGGACCAGGGGATACGAAAGCCCACCCAGCCGGGTAACCAACCTCGTTGGCGTCCAACCAGCCGGCGACGAGAGAGCAAGAAGGAGTTTGATCAGAGGAGAAAGTTTTGACTAGCCTTCTCTTCTTGGTAGGCTTAGGAGGCATGGTAGCAGGACTAGAGAAGGTTTGCAACGAAGGAGTGCTAGCAGGTTTCAAGGCAGATTTGGAAGAAACATTTCGCTTTGGGTTACTTGAGGAGACGACCTTAGAAAAAATGGAGTGCTGAGAGAGAGGGATATCATCTTCATCCCTCCCCATAGTCGCCTCAGCAGCATCAGAAGCCCCAAACGCTGGCCGACGGCGGTTGAGGGGGATATGGTCGAGGGCATCCTCGTCTGATTCATCAATCAGACGAGTTGATTGGCGAGGAGGAGAAGATGTGGCACAATCGAAAAGGCGAAAAACACTTAGAGGAGTGGGATTGTAGATTTCTGCAACAGAGCGGGAAGGCGAGTGAGGAATAGGTTGGCAAGTGAAAAACGGTGACGCGCCGTTCTCATCTTCACCGGAGTGATGGCTTTGAGCGCTAGAATCGGTGGAATCTGAAAAGTACAAGAAAGAAAGAGCAAGAGGAAAAGGAGAGAAGTTAGGGTATGGAAAGGCGGAAAAGAGGCGTTTCTTCACAGACGAAATGAGGAGGTTTTGGAAAAGAAAAATCGACAGACCGAACCAAAAATCGACAAAATAAATGCAAGAAAAAATAAAATTAAAGTGCAGGAGACTTACTCATGATAGTAGTTGAGAGTGGTCGTAGAGGAAAGCTTGAAACTGAGGGAGCGGAAACGCCGAAGAGCAGGGGAGTGCAATTTGCAGAGGAAGAAATTAGAGCACAAGTATGTAGAGAATTGCAAAGGTGAGAAAAGCTGAAAGATTGGCTAAGTACCGTATTTATAGGAGTACAGATGAATAAGGTGAAGAGTTAAGGGAGATGACCGTTAGATAGAAGAAGATCCAACGGTGGGAAAAAATTAAAGAGGCACAGATAGCGAAGCGGCACAAATCGCGAGGAGGCACGATGATTAAAGGAGCTGAATGGAAAAGACATATGGCAGGCGGAGAGTACGCTAGTAATAAAAGGGAATGAAAGACAATTTAAAGCGCACCATAAAATCGATCACGTGGTCGAAGAATGGTGGCGGCCTCGACAGAAGAGATAAGGAGAGGAGACCAGATGTAAGCGGGAGATCGAGGGGGTGGTAGAATGAAAAAGACAGCCTGAATTCACTCTTAGATCGAGTCATTTAGACTCGACCAGAGTGGGGGAGACTAGATGATATTGGATATTATATAGCTGAGGAATAGACCGGTTTGCATCATCGATCGAGTAACCTCGAAGTGGAGAAAGCCGGATTGGTAGAAGGATGATCGACCAGAAGGAAGGAGATCGAGCAGAATAGCAGAACTGGTCGAGGATCGACCAAAAGGGAGGAGATCGAGCAGAATAGCAGAACCGGGCGAGGATCGATCGAAAGGGAGGAGATTGAACACTCAACAGGTGAAGAGCAGTCTAGAGCGTGGTTTGAACGCGAGAAGGCGTGTGGATGGCGTTAGAAGATCCCAACGGCCTGCGCGGAAGAATAATCTCCCTCAGCTCAGAGGGACACGTGGCGAGAATATATTGGTGCAGAGTGATAAGGGCAAAAGCCACCCCTGACATTTTTGACACACGCACACTATGTGTGTACGGACGGGCAGTACGGGCAGGACAGCTCACCAAAAGTCGGGCAGTTCCTAGGGCAGGTATCTCACCCCCTATATATATGGGAGTGAGTCTTTTCTTGTAGCCTACGATTTATCCATTCTTTACTTTGGAAAATTGAGAAAACACATACTGATTTAAGCATTGGAGGCTCTTCACCGGAAAACCCCTCCGGTGTGAGAGTTCTGTGCAGGTGCGCGGTGTTCTACCGGTGAGGAAGAGAAAGGCAAATCGATTTCAAGCCGATCGGAGTGTTTTGCGTTACCAAATAGTATACTAAAAAATATTCAAAAATGTGATGAAACATATTCATGTTTTATTTAAAAAAAAAAATATAGAAGTTATTAAGCAAATAAATATAAATGAACAAAAAACACAACTCAAATGCAAAGCATCATCGTCTACAATGTTGCTCGTCGGCCCATGGCGTACGTAGAATCTCTCCTCCGCAAATGCACGTCCTTCTCCCTCACGCAGCAGCTCCACGCCCACCTCCTCACCACCGGCCTCCTCCACCTCCAAATCCCCCGCTCCAAATTTCTCGACTTCTGCGCCACATCCGCCGCCGGCGGCCTCCCCTACGCCGCCGCCGTCTTCCGCCGCGTCCCCCTCCCTTCCACCAACGACTGGAACGCCATCATCCGCGGCCACGCCCAGGGCCGCCGCCCAATCGACGCCCTCGCGTGCTACCTCTCCATGTCCCGCGCCCCCTGCCGCCCCGACGCCCTCACCTGCTCCTTCTTCCTCAAAGCCTGCGCCCGGGCCCTGGCCCGAACCGAATCCGTCCAGATGCACGCCTCCGTCGTCAAAGCCGGCGTCGGCGCCGACGTTCTTCTCCAGACCACACTCCTCGACGTCTACTCCAAGTGCGGCGATCTCGACGGCGCCTGCCAACTGTTCGATGAAATGCCCCAAAGAGACGTCGCGAGCTGGAACGCCTTGATTTCCGGCATGGCCCAGGGTAATCTCCCCCACAAAGCCCTGAAGCTTTTCAACACCATGATCGAGCAAGCAAGTCGAGGCTTCATGATGCCGAATGAGGTAACAGTTGTCGGGGCCCTATCCGCTTGTTCGCAGCTGGGCGCAATACGTGAAGCTAAACGAATATACGATTACATCCGTAAAAATCACCTCGACAAGAACGTAATCGTGTGCAATGCCATTATCGACACATTTGCCAAGTGCGGGCTCGTGGACCGGGCTTTCAGCGTTTTCCAGGGCATGAATTGCCATGGGAACATAATAACATGGAACACCATGATAATGGGCTTTGCAGTCGATGGAGACGGGCCCAAAGCCCTGGAGCTCTTTCATACTCTGTCAAATGGGCCGGATGGGCCCAAACCAGACAGTGTCACTTACTTGGCCGTACTCTGCGCGTGTAACCATGCAGGAATGGTTGACGAGGGCATGAGAATCTTCGAATCCATGGAGAAAGCCATGGTTGAAAGAACTGTTAAGCATTATGGGACAGTGGTGGATTTATTGGGCCGGGCCGGAAGACTGGACGAGGCCCACGGGCTCATAGAATCGATGCCCGTTTTCCCAGACACTGTTCTCTGGCAGACTCTGCTAGGGGCCTCCAAAATATACGGTAATGTGGAAATTGCGGAAAAAGCTTCGAAAAAGCTTGCAGAGATGGGGTCCGGCGCTTGTGGGGATTTCGTGCTTTTGTCGAACGTTTATGCTGCAAACGAGAGATGGAATGATGTGTGGAGAGTGAGGGATGTTATGAAAACGAGAGACGTTAAGAAAGTGCCCGGGTTTAGCTACACTGAGATGAATGGTGTCATAATCCAATTTTATAATGGCGACAAGAGCCATCCTAGGTGGAGGGAAATATACCAGAAATTAGAAGAAGTTGGGTTTAGGATTCGAGAATTGGGGTACGAGCCAGAGACGAGTTACGTGCTGCACGATATAGGGCATGAGGAGAAGCAGAACTCGTTGTTTTACCATAGTGAGAAATTGGCTGTGGCTTTTGGTTTGATTAGTACTGATGAAGGGAGCAGTATAAATGTGAATAAGAATCTGCGGATATGTGGGGATTGTCATGTGGTGATCAAGCTTGTTTCGAAGTTGTATGGTCGGGAGATTATTGTGAGGGACCGTACTCGGTTTCATAGGTTCAAGGAAGGATCTTGTTCGTGCAGAGATTATTGGTGATCTGAGTATGGTTTTTATGTTTACTTGTTACCGGTTTGTATACTGCTTGGTAATTTTGAATCTGCTAGTTTTACCAATTTTCATGATGGCAAACAACTTTAAAGTTTGTGTGTGGATAAATGTGAACCATTTGTGTTATGAAACTGTTATACAGGATGTTTGGGGAGGATTTAAGATGATATATTTGATATCCAAGAGACTGCCTTGCAATCCAAGAAAGCTCAATGAACTATATTATTAATCTTTGCTTCAAATGCTTACATCCTTATACAACCTTCAAGGCATTTTGCATAATTGGCTGGTGCTGACAAAAACAAAATTATGTTTCTGTTTATGCTTAAGTTTCTAGCCGTGTTTCAGTGTTTTACTTCGTATTCGTCGTCACAGTCAAACATAAGAAAAAAGAAGTGCATTCACCTGAGCGCTACATGGAATTTTACAACCTCAAATATCTGCATCTGACTATCTTCAAAAGTTGACTTCTTTTGAAAGTAATCGCACGACACAGGATATCAAAATCTGGGCAAGGCAATGGACAATTTAATCAAGGCTAGCAAAATAACCTAACTGTCCTAGACGAGGATCCGGTTTGCACTCACTTGAACTTTAAAACACCATCATTCATCAACATTGCGGAAGTAGATATTGAATATATAAATTGCAAATCTATCATGGAAAAAATAAGGCAACCCAAGAATATCCTGCTAGAGAATAGAGTACAGCTTTATATGTTTACAACACGTCAAAGGACTAATCGTCAACAAGATTAAGCCCCAAATATCGTACACAAAAAGTTTCATCAACAATTCTACCTTCAGCACATATTATCATGGTGTTTTGGGTAACACAACCTTAATACTACCAAAAACTTACATGTTCACTTGACCGACAAACCTTAGCCAGTTAGACCTAAACTGTCCTGGCAAATAAGCAGTGGTCAGAACTTGGGACAAAGAATAGACAGTTCAAAACAAACTTTTACTACATATTTCAACTCTCTCTAACACACAGAGCTTCTAATGAAGAACCTAACAGACTTTTCCGACACACGGCAGTAACAAAAAAAAAAATTCTAAAACGAAGTCAATCTTTTTTCAACCTCGCCTCAAAACCACCCTCTGCCCGCTTTACAAGTGTATACGGCACATAGGTCCCCAGCAGTTTGTCCCACATCGAGAAAAACGGCTGAGAGTAGTTGAATTGTAAACCCTGGAGCTGATGATGCACATCGTGATAAGCAGTGTTGTTTTGAAAAAGTAAATGGAAGATATTACCAGGCAGCCATAGCCCACAATGGTCATCGACAGTCTTGATGATGGCAAAGCAAAAGAAATAAACAGCTGTTCGTGCAGTCATCCCGGACACTAAAAAGGAAATAGCACCGCCAAATGTGTCCAATAAAAGGCCTTCCAATGGGTGATTGTAAAGAGCCCCAATAGCGTAAGGGACAACTAATCTATGATGTTGGGAGTGGATGTGTTTGTACAGAAACTTATTCTGGTGCATGTAACAATTCACAAAGTACTGCCAAGTGTCCATGACTAGCATTGCAACTATGAATTGGATGCATTGTAAAAGGAGAGAGGGTTCGGAGGCTTGATCGGGAGAACTCGCATTAGAAGTCACCTGCAAAACTTAAGAATAAAAAGGTTAGTTCTAAATAAGGAAACAAAAAGAACACAATTTACAATTAATAACTTTGGTGATAATACAAAGGATTATGTTATCGACCAAATAAGGAAATTGAAAGTAAAAGAAACAGACTTTGGTTTAGACCCTCGAAGTCGAAGATGATAATGCAGGAGACATCCACCAAACTTCAAACAGAAAAGGGTTTAAAAGCTAAATTTCTCAATCCATAGAGATATGATTGTGAAGAATAAATGTCTTGAATATTCAAATTATAGCAAACAAAAAGGCATCCATTGAATGACCTAAAATTACAATTACCTAACAGAAATAAAAGGAACAAAATGAGCACGATTCATTTACCAAAAACAGCAATTCCGCAACAACAGCCTGAACAAATTGCTGAAGAAGAACACCTTTGATAACGGATCTCAAAGGCACGACATTTTTTTCAATTTCTTCGGTCTTTGTATGCAGCCTGTAATTATCTACAGGAGGGAGTAGCTGATAAACCCCAGCATACAACCAGTACACGACTAGCGGGGCAAAAGTCCTGTAACGCCCCGTTTTATTTTAAAGAATTTACCGAATTTATTTAATAAAAATCAGAGTTATATTTTTTTTTTTTTTTGAAATCCAAGTTAAAACATTTATTGAGAAACGGGCGCTACTTATTAACCACAACAAATAAACACACTCAATCAAGGGAACTACACATACTCGAGCTAACAATAAAACAAATCCCAAAAACATAAGTCTCAAACCATTTCCAAAAGGTCTAGCATTATTCAAAGTTCAAACGAAAGCTCAAACATAGTTCGAAGGCAAATAAATAAATAATCCAAAGTATGAAAGCAAATAATTAAGTAACAAGTTTATGCGCAACACATAATCAGTATACGAAATCAAGCAGGGATATAAACACATAATAAAATATCCAAACCCAAGCGAGAAAATAATTCAAGTCAAGTTTCAGTTCAACAAATTATAAACAGGCGGAAGCATAATACATCATCAAACAGTGACCACCATCTCGCTCGTCCTACGCCACCGCCTCCAGCTCGTCTCAACCTAAAACAAAGGAAGAGAGANNGCNNCNNNG